GGGGGCTCGAGACCCGCGCCGATCGACAAAACGATGAACAAGAAAACGACCACTAAAGGGGGCCAGGCACTTCTCTGCGAAGACCCCGCAGACACCGGCAGGGGCCGCCGAGAAGCCGCCCACTCTGCCCTCTCGGGGAAGCCGCCCGCCGCCTTCTTTTGGAAGGTCGCCCGCCTCGCCCAACCCTCCTGGAGATGTTTAAAACTATGTCTGGTACAGGTCGTTACGTATTCTTCTTTTTCCGCAGTCCAATTACTATAAGTCTTCTTCCCCCCATCACTTTTCTTCTTATTATAAGTCTAATTCGTTTTCTTCTTAATATAATTCTTAGATGTCTGATGATTATTATTTTTCTTACGATTATCAGTATCACCATTATTATGTTGTTCTGCCCCCCTCCTCCGAGCGCTTTCCCGCCGGGGTGCGGATCGCTCTGCGGCAGCTCGGGCACGCGGCGCCGCGGCCGAAGGCGGAGGCCACCATCAGCTTGGAGATGTACTGGGGCCCCTTTACCAGGTCGTTACTTTGTGGGGATGGGTGGGGCCCCCTGTGCAAAGGGTAACGAGCTTGGGCGGGGTGGGACACGCCGGGGGGCGGGCGAGGCGCTGCGATCGCAGCACCGCGTTACGCGCGAACATCAGCATGTTGGCCCCAACGCGCGATCATTACTGTTGACCCGGGGTGGGGGGGGGGGCCGGGTAACGACCGTACAGAGGGAGCTCGACCACAAGAAAACTTGCACAAGAAACCCAACCCTGAGACCCAGGACGACCAGTGATTGTTGGTGTAGGAACGTCACGCTTGCCACAGCAAAACCATCGAAACCCAGGAAGCCCAGGGCACCCTGGAGGCAAGCAGGGTTCTTCTTGCCATGGGTCTCCACTGTAACGCGCCAGAGGATGAAACGACAATCTCCTGCGCGCGCCGCTGATCCATGGCCAAGCAACCCGCCACAGCTCGGGCGGACGAGGATCAGCTCACCAGGTGCGCAGAGGAGGAGGAGGAGGAGGAGGAGGAGGAGGAGGAGGAGGAGGAGGAGGAGGAGGAGGAGGGAGGAGGAGGAGGAGGAGGAGGAGGGAGGAGGCGCTGCCAGCCTGCCGTGCCTCGCAGGGAGTGGGGCCGCAGGGACAGCCCTCCGCGGCAGCCCTCGCAGCCAGGAGGAGGGCAGGGGGCACCAACACCTCGTGGCGACCCCTAGATGCTCGGGGAGGAGCTGGCGACCCCCTCCGTGGTGCCTTCCAGGAGCAAAGCCCGAGTCCCAGCAGAGCCTGGGAGCCCCAAAGCGACCTGCCCCTCCGGCGTTCTCCTTCTCCTCCTCCTCCTCCTCCTCCTCCTCCTCCTCCTCCTACTCCTCCCCCCCCCCACACTCCCCTCGGCACTGCCCGAGTGCGTCCTGGCCGGCGAGGCGGGGGGCACCGGACGGCGCTTCGCAGCCTCGTGGCGTCTTCGGCTGAGTGGAGCAGACACCCTTCGTCAGGCAAGCGAGCAGAGCTAGCAGAGGCTGGGCATCCGGCAGGGCGCGTCGGCAGGCTCGAGGTTGCACCATTGGCAACCCCGGCAGGGCGCGTCGGCAGGCTCGAGGTTGCACCGTTGGCGACCGAGTGGAGCAACTTGAGGCACATGTTGAGCAGTCTGGCTATAGGGAGAGAGGGAGGAAGAGGGGAGACAAAGTCGGAGTCAAAGCCGGCTGTGTGCTCAGAGGAATCTCGTCATCCAACACCCTTCCTCACGCACGCATATCATCATGGGCGAAGAGCTATATCCGTCTCCGCGGCTTCTCAAAGCTGGCCCCCCCTGGGCCGCGACCCCGCGGACGCGGCGCGTCTTTGGTCGCGGATGCCCCGCGCGGAACGCAGCCGCGCGACCGCGTAACCATCCGCGGGAGCGCGCCCTGGAATCCAGACCGCGAGGGCGCGGATACGGGTTAGCTGTCGCCGCTCGCGACAGAAGGCCCACTGCCTGCGAGAGGCCGCGACCCCGCGCCACCGAGGCACCCCCTGGCCATCGGCGGGCGTGCTCTCGCTGCCCCCCGGTAAGCGCTGCCGGACGTGCCCGATGACCGGGGCCGAGCACCCCGCGGCGGAGCACACCGTGCGACGCGGCCCTGCCACGGTGCTGCATCCCATAATGCGGGATGACGATTAATAAAACATGAGAGAGAACGATTAAACAATTTGTTCCCTGCTATTTCTGCACAATGTTCTGACTAGAGGAGAGCGATTTTAAAAAATAGTTTTCCAGCCCGCGGCCGGTTTTTTCTAATCGTCATCCCGGGCGCCGCCGCGTGAACACGACCCCCGGTCATTTATTAATCGTCATCCTCCATTACGGCGGTTTCTGGAAACCCCGAACCCCAAAGCATGTGGTCATCTCCTGGGGATGCGTTCCTTGCTTCCGCAGGCTTCCGCCGGCCTTCGTCTTGCTTCCGCCGACGGAGGTATTCGCCGACCTTCCGCCGCCTTCCGACGAGGAAGATATGCCAGCTCGCTCGATTCTCAAAGGCGAGGACCTTTCTGGAGCGCGCCATAGCGCCTTCTCTCGAGCGACGAACATATCCGTACCCAAGTCCTAGCGGTCTGGATTCCCAGGCGCGCTCCCGCGGATACGCGGTCGCACGGATACGTTCCGCGCGGGGCATCCGAAAAAAGAAAGCCCCTCATCCGCGGGGTCGCGACCCAGGGAACCAGCTTGCGAGGCCGCGGATACAGATGTAGCTTTGCGCCCATGAATGTATGCGTGCGTGAGGAAGGGTGTCGGACGACGCAATGCCTCTGAGCACGCACCCGGCTTTGATTCCGCATGCTCTTCGCCCCCGATTGAGTGCCCTCGCCAGCCAGCAGCAGCAATGGAGCCCAGCGACCGGCAGGCGGGCTCCCCTCACACTGGAGGTCTGGTGCCAAGGGCCTCTCGGACGAAGCCGGAGGAGCAGGGGAGAGAGCTCGCAACGGAGGGCCCAGCAGACTTGAAGGAGGGGGCTGGGAGGTTCCTCGAGGTTCCAACCTTTCGTGGGGAGAGGAGATGTAGAGGGGAAGAGCAGGGGAGGGGGGGGCAAGAGCAAAGGAAGGGGGAGGATGGTTGGGGGGGAGTCGGAAGGGGCTCGGCGAGGGGTCGTTGCAGACCGCGTCTGAGGCGCGCGCCCTGCTGCCCGGCGAAGCGCCAGTTCGACACGCGGGAGGAGGCGTCGCTGTGCACGCTGGGCGTCTCGTAGCCCGACGAAGTCGACAGCGGGCCTGGGGGTCCCATGCCGCTGCTGGGGTAAAGAACCACCCGTCCGCAGATGCTGCTTCGGCGGGGGCCCCCCCGTGACCCCACATCTCCATGCCTCTTCGCGTCCGCAGCAGACACACCCGTCTTTTAACACTGACATCGGGGGGCGCGGGGGTTCTCAACGCACCGGCGTAGGTTCCTCCGTTCGGTGAGCGCTTGTACACCAGATTCGGCGGTGGACAAACCTCCCTTTAGTAGATCTCCCCCTTAGTGAAAACGGCCTGGGACCGAAACCGACGGACCTGGGCCCGCAAAAATGACGGCCGCGACGCCCTCTCGCGAACCGAAAACGGCCAATTCCTTAATCAACGTGTTAGGGTAGGAGGTCTGTCCACCACCGACACATGGCGGCACCTCCGACGTCAAGAAGTCCGGGCCTCCGGGAGTCTGTTCCGGGCCACGGGGCCCACCATGGACGGCCCACGACGCGGCACGGCATTGAGAGGGTATTGAGCCGAGAGCACCAGAGCCCAACGCACTGAAGAAACCCAGGCGTCGGAGGGTTTGAAAGGGGCCCTGGGACACACAAGTAAATACACACAAGTAACACGAATCCCCAGATTTCCCTACATTTGCTGGTTTTTGTCTTCCCCCCCACTTCCCATGCTTTCCCATAATTTTCTGGGGGATCGACGATTCATTGTGTCTATGCGTGTTTTTCCCTCCTGAGGGTCGGGGTCACAGCTCAGTGAGCGCCCGCGACAGAACATGAGCGGCTCCTCGTGTTCTGCGCTTCGCTCGCCCAGCAGCCGGCAGCGGCGCCCTCAAACAGTGAGCTTCGACCAGAGCACGGATCGAGAGAAAGTCCTTAGCAGCAGAGCTCGGGACAAGAGTGGACGAATGCTCCCCCTCGAGGCTCCGTTAACAGTGCCAGTGATCGACTGACTCCCCCACCCCAGCTGGCCATCGTCGCTCGGACGTCCTTTCCCTGTGCTTCTTGTGCGGTTTCGTGCACGGTTTTTGTTTCGCAGGAGGATCCGGGATGCTTCTTTGATAATCCCCACCGAGAGAAAGTGCACACGTCCGAGCGATGCCAAGCCAAATGCCCCCCCGCAGCCTCACCCAGGGGGGGGGGGGCTGGATCGCGTGGGCGCCACCCCCGCGCTCCGCCTGTGTTTACCAGCCTCGAACGTATCCCTATCCCTAAGATTGACACGCCAAAAGGCGATGACAATCTCAGGGATTCGCCCCCAAAAAATAAGGGAATCCCTAAGATTGGCATCGTGATGAGGAGGTGCCCAGCATAGGGATAGGGATATGTTCCAGGCTGGTAGTGTGTGAAGCCGAGGGGCAAGACGTGCCCAGCCCGACTGGAACGACCGACAAGCGGCGCCCAGACGGGCCGTGGCTCCCCTGGGGAAACGTGGGCCCCAAGATCCCCACAGGAGCACGCCCAACCAAGGGGGAAGATATAGGGGGCCACATGCGAACCCTACCCCTACCCCCCACGATTTCTGAGGGAGAGGGTGGGGATCACTTCGCTCGGGAGCTCCCGAACGAAGTGAACCCAACCCTGTAGAGGGACGTGCCCGCCTTAAGGCGAAGGGGAGACGTTGACAGATGAACGTGGCATGAGCGCTCGCTACAGCCGACCCGTACCGTGAGGACGCGCGATAAAGGATGCAAAGGGCCTCGGAAGGCCATGCCGACACTTCGCGGGGCGGGTCGCGGCCAGTGAAGGCGGCCAAGGATGTGCCGAGCAGGGGAAGGATGTACAAGGACAGCCTTGGGAAAGCTGCTCGTCCTTACCACGCGGCTTGACTGCATGTCTTCCGAGGCCTGTAGGAAAGAGTTGTGGATGCCATGACCATGGACACTCGAACACTCCCATCATGGGATGAAAGAGGTGTGTTCAACACGTGTAAAGCATGTTCCAAAAACGTTTCAAGCATGGTCTGTGTAACACATGTTTGCAACATCTTGTGCACCTCTGGAAATTCTTTGGCAGCAGGCTCCCTCTCCATTGATCTTCCTCCACAACTTCGGCTGCACGTAAAAGTGACCCTGGGCAAGAGTGACCTTTGGTGCGCGGCTTCTTGGGGGGCGCGAGGAGGCCAACACACAAGCGCGCAAGACGCTGCTATCGCACCGAGCACGGCGACCGGAGGACCCCAGTGAGCGCGCACCAAAGGTCACTCCGGCGAAGGGTCCCTGATACGTGTAGTCGACATCTGCAGGACAGGACAGGACTATGCCTACGGATTACTAAGGATGCATTACCAGCCTGGAGCATATCCCTATCCCTATGCTGGGCACCTCCTCATCACGATGCCAATCTTAGGGATTCCATTATTTCCCCACATCCTGAGTGGGGTTCTTGTTTTCCCAGAACACCCTCTCCTTCCCACCCACCTCCCGCTCCATCTTCCATACAGCACAATATTATTCCTACCACACACACCATACCATACCATAGTTCCATACCACACATACCATACCATACCACACCATACGTACCATACCGTACCATACCATACCATGGCGTACCATAGCATACCATACCATATCACTGCCCCTCCCACCCCTCCAGGGAGGCCCCGCCTGAGCGAGGAGGGTATCGGAATACCATACTATTTACATGGTTTCGTGCCCCTCCCACCCCTCCAGGGAGGCCCCGCCTGAGCGAGGAGGGTATCGGAATACCATACTATTTACATGGTTTCGTGCCCCTCCCACCCCTCCAGGGAGGCCCCGCCTGAGCGAGGAGGGTATCGGAATACCATACTATTTACATGGTTTCGTGCCCCTCCCACCCCTCCAGGGAGGCCCCGCCTGAGCGAGGAGGGTATCGGAATACCATACTATTTACATGGTTTCGTGCCCCTCCCACCCCTCCAGGGAGGCCCCGCCTGAGCGAGGAGGGTATCGGAATACCATACTATTTACATGGTTTCGTGCCCCTCCCACCCCTCCAGGGAGGCCCCGCCTGAGCGAGGAGGGTATCGGAATACCATACTATTTACATGGTTTCGTGCCCCTCCCACCCCTCCAGGGAGGCCCCGCCTGAGCGAGGAGGGTATCGGAATACCATACTATTTACATGGTTTCGTGCCCCTCCCACCCCTCCAGGGAGGCCCCGCCTGAGCGAGGAGGGTATCGGAATACCATACTATTTACATGGTTTCGTGCCCCTCCCACCCCTCCAGGGAGGCCCCGCCTGAGCGAGGAGGGTATCGGAATACCATACTATTTACATGGTTTCGTGCCCCTCCCACCCCTCCAGGGAGGCCCCGCCTGAGCGAGGAGGGTATCGGAATACCATACTATTTACATGGTTTCGTGCCCCTCCCACCCCTCCTGCGTCGCGAGGAGGGCATCAAGAAAATGGGCCCCACGAAACCGTTAATCTCTTTATGTGGGGAACTCCGTTAGCATAATTTTTTGAGGGCGAATCCCTAAGATTGTCATCGCCTTTTGGCGTGTCAATCTTAGCGATAGGGATACGTTCGAGGCTGGTAAAGAGGAGCGGGCCGCGGCGCGGCCTGTCTGCGTGCGGCTGAAGCGCCCCGGGGGGCCGAAGCGCACGGGGTCGTGGCCCTTCTCGGGGCGCCGCCCGCCCTGCTGCTCGGTCGCCGCCTTCTGCGCCGGCTTCCGGTGGCCCGGGCGGGCGCCGTGGTGGTCCTCCGCGCCGCCCCGGGCCACGGCTCGCGCCTCCCAGACGTTCGGCTCCCCCATCCCGCCTCCTCCTCCGTCCGCCTCCTCCGTCCTCCTCCTCCTCCGTCCTCCTCCTCCTCCTCCTCCTCCTCCTCCTCCTCCTCCTCCTCCTCCTCCTCCTCCGTCCTCCTCCTCCTCCTCCTCCGTCCTCCTCCTCCGTCCTCCTCCTCCTCCTCCTCCGTCCTCCTCCTCCTCCTCCTGTCTCCTCCTCCTCCGCTTCCTGTCTCCTCCCTCCTCCCTCCCTCCTACCCCGTTGAGCACGTTTTGCGACATTGGCATCGTCCGCCGCCGCCCGCTTCCCCCGCCCTCGACCGCAGAGGGTGTCTGCCGAGTTCGGGACATGGTACAGTACTTGCCTTGGCACGGAAGGCGGGGCGGGGATAGGAAGAGGAGGAGCAGGAGGAAGAGAAGGAGGAGGAGGAGGAGGAGGTGGAAGAGGAGGAGGAGGAGACGGAGGAGGAGGAGGAGGAGGAGGAGGAGGAGGAGGAGGACGAGGGAGGAGGAGGAGGAGGAGGAGGAGGAGGAGGAGGAGGGGGAGGAGACGGAGGAGGAGGAGGAGGAGACGGAGGAGGAGGAGGAGGAGGAGACGGAGGATGAGGAGGAGGAGGAGGAGAAGAAGAAGCAGGAAGAGGAAGTAGGGAGGAGGGCGCGAGGAGGAGAGGCATCAGGATGCAGAACAGAGAAGGCATGAGGGACGAGGACGGGAGGGAGGGAGGGCGGGGGGACCTCCGGCCGACGCCGCGAGCGCCTCGCTCGCTCGGCGGCCTGCCCCAGAGAGGGGGGCCCTCCAGCTTCTCCCCGCGACGCTCACGCGAGACCCCCTCCCCGACGAGATCTGGAAGGCCCTCGCTGCCCTGGGGCCCGAAGCGCCCCGCCCACCCCCCCGACGGCCTTCAGCCTCGAGCGCCTGCGCTGGCGTCGGCAGCGCGTCGAGGCGGCGGTTCCCTGCCGAACGCGTGCAACACGTGCTGCAGAAGCGGGGGCACGCCTCGGCCCAGGACGGCGGGACTCCTCTCACCATGTCGCGAGAAGCTCCTTCCCGTACGCCTCTGACGAATCTCTGTGGCCCCTTTTTTGAGCACCCGAAGTTGGCTCCTGACTCACGGGTTCGCTCGGCATGCGCCTTTTCCCCAAACAGTAGGCGGTGTTGGGTCCTCGCTTTGAAGAGATACCGCCCCACGCCTCCTCGTGTCCTGTCCTCTTCTGCTCCCTCCCTCCTCCCATTCCCGCCTCTGCCCTCCACATGTCCATTCTGGCACCCCACACACCCTTCGTGGCCCCATAGGGAGCTCCACCGAAGCCCTCAGGATGGCGTTTCGCATGTGCTCCCCACGCGCCTCACACGCTTCGTTTGTCTCATAGGGCGCTCCAAAGCCCTCAGGAGTAGGCGTTGTACGTGGTCCTCCACACCACTTCCCATGGTTCGTGGTCCCATAAAGGGGGGCTCCACCGAAGTTCCCAGGAGAGGGTTTTGCATATGGTCCTCCACACCACACCCCCTCACACGCCTCGTGGCCCCATGGGGAGCTCCACCAAAGCCCCCATGAGGGGGTGTTGCATGTGGTTCTCCACACCCCTTCACATGTTTCGTGGCAGCATCGGGAGCCCAACCGAAGCACTCAGGAGGGGGTGTTGCACGTGGTTCTCCACGCCACGCGTACGCTTCGTGACCCCACAGGGAGCCCCACCGGAAGTCCTCAGGAGGGAGTGTTGCAAGTGGTCCTGGCCACCTCTCACACGCTTCGTGGCCGAAATAAGGAGCTAGACCGAAGCCCCTAGAAGGGGGTGCTGCACGTGGTAATCCAGAACCCTTTCACATGTTCAGTGGCCCAATGAGGGGGCTCCACCGAAGCCACCATGGGGGGGGGATGTTGCAGGTGGCCCCCCGCACCCCTCACAATCGTCGTGGCCCCCATAGGGAGATCCATATGGAGCTCCACCGAAGCCCTCAGGAGGGGGTGTTGCATGTGCTTACCCACGCCGCCTCACACGCTGCGTGGTCCCATAGGGAGCTTCTCCGAAGCCTCCAGGAGAAGGTGTGGCATATGGTCCCCCGCACCCCTCACACGCTTCGTGGCCCAACAAGGAGCTCAACCGGAGCCAGCAGGAGGGGGTGTCGCATCCCTCACACGCTTCGTGGCCCCATAGCATTGGGGCCCCAACCGAGGCCCACAGGAGGGTTCTTGCTCCGCATGCGGTTCTCCACCCATGTCGGCACACCCCTCACACGTTTCGTGGCCCCATGGGGAGCTCCGCCGAAGGCCCCAGTGGCAGCGTATGCGTGGCGGCGCCGCGCTCATCTCGGCACACCCCTCGCACGCTTCGTGGCCCCACGTAGGGGGCTCCGCCGAAGGCCGCAGAGGCAGAGCCCGCACGGCGGCACGACACACACGCACACACACACACACACACACACACACCGTACACTGCGCGCTGCGCGCAGGCCGTCCCCAACAACACACACACACACACACACACGCACAGTTCGGCACACCCCTCACGCCTTTCGTGGCCCCCACTCCTTCGCCCCACCTGCCTCGCGAGACTCGCAACTGCATGTGTAGGGGAACAAAAAAGGACATAAACGTAATTATCCCAGTGCGACCCTACCCAGGAGTTGGAGGATCTAGGAAAGCAGCATCTGTATGAAGCTGAGTTAAGCTACGATGAAGCTAAGCTAAGATGAAATAAGCTAAGCTAAGATGAGATAAGCAACGCTAAGCTAAGGGAACGTCACTGGGGGAACCGCGGAGCGGATGCCAGGGAAACCGCCCGGGGGCGAGCCCCACTGTCCAGCCCTTTAAACTTAGCTATACTATGCTAAGCTGCGCTATGCGATGCTATGAAATGCTATGCTATGATATACTATGATATACGATGCTGCGCTATGCTATGCTATGCTTGGCTGTGTTATGCTATGCTACGTTTTGCTAATGCAGCGCTGCGCTACGCTAAGTTAAGCTAAGCTAAGCTAACCCTTTAAGAAGAGCCTAAGTAGGGAATTACACCCATGCTATGATATGATATGCTGCGCTATGCTATGCTACGCTATGTTATGCTATGCTGTGCTCTGCTATGC